AGATGTTTCTGAGAAGACTAGGTATAAGATAATCCATTTGCATAAGAATAGAGTCAAAGAAAAAACTGGACTTTCCAAAACTGGAGTTCAAAAAAATTAATAGCTGTAGAGAAAATGGAACTACCAGCCATCCAGACGTGGCAGACCATCATAACTGTTGCCATCAGATAAATAGTACTTAAAGCTTTCATCAAGGAGGGCTTAGAGAATGTCATGCTCCACTAGAGCCATTGTCCACATTTGCTTCATGTCTGAAACAAGACAAGACAAGCCTTGTTTTACTGCAGCTGCATGGCATTTGTCATGCAAGTGTCTATGATAAAGGATAGAGAAGAGGACACAGAATAGGATATATTTTCAGATGTTGATTAGGGAAGTTTAGTTTATTTACTTTGTTTTCTCTGATTTACTCCAATTTTATTCGTTTTCTTGAGATCTTTATTTATTCATGGCATCATCATGACACACACACACAACGCACACTCTTTAAGCCACTTATCCTCCTGGGTTGCAGGGGGTGCTGGAGCCTATTCCAGCACTCACTGGGCCTCTTTCACCAAGTTTTTTCTTAAATGTGTTCTTGAGAAAGGTCCTCAAAAAAAAGTCTGTTCTCAACTTTGTGCTCTTGAGTGTGGGTAGACTCTGTTCTTACAAATCTCAAATAAGAAAACACTAGTCGGAATCTTCAGAAAAGAAATATGTTCTTAAGAACAGTTGGTGAATGAGGCCCATTGGGCATAAGGCAAGAAACACCCTGGACAGGACACCAGTCCATCACAGGGCAGATCATCATGAGACAACAAACGTTATTTTCCTGAAATAATGAAATACTTTTCTTGTGAAAATGAAACTTTGTTTGATTGTTTTGATTGTAGTGTCCTTAAAATCACTCCGGAGTTCCATTTGAATTATTCAGGTTTTAAGAGAAAAATGACCGACGTACATAAAAGTGCCCTAAAATGCAAATAGGGTTCCACTGTAGTCACAGCCCCAGTGTTCCAAAAAGAAAGGAAGCTATAATAAAAGTAAGGGACAAAACAAAAAATATTATATTTAGCTGTTAAAGTAATTGCCCTGCGATGGACTGGTGACCCGTCCAGGGTGTATCCTGCCTTCCGCCCAATGACAGCTGGGATAGGCTCCAGCACCCCACCGTGACCCAGAAGGATAAGCGGTTTAGATGATGGATGGATGTTAAAGTAATTTTTAGTCCCTGCTTTTTGGGTTCTAAGATTGAAAAATTAATAATTTAAAGGCTGTTTTGTCTGAAAATTAGGCAAATAAAGGTCTCAGACTTTTCACAGTACTGTATCTGATTAAGCCAGAGAACATGATAGGGAGTGTGTTATTAAGAATAACATCATAGCATTTATTGCATCTGTAATGTTCAGGATACTTCTTGGCTTTTGGTTTTCAACAGCTATTTCAAGAGTTTTGTGAAGTAAAAAAAAATAGAAATTGCAAAAGAGCCCTGAACATCGTCACAAATTTCAAAAAGTAGAGTGAAAAAAAAAACATGCTGTTATCAGGTATCACAATACGGACTGACCACTTTTCAACCAGTCAGATCAGGTGATCAGCACAAAGTTTACACTTATATATTTAGTGTGAATAGATTCATTTATCGTGGAATGAAGTATACATAACAAACGAGCACAATGTGAAAAAAAGCAAAGCAGATCACTGAACATCACTTCCAAGGCACATATGGGTTCCTCTCTTGTGGTGAGGTCACTAGAAAATGACAGAAATAGATTTCCAGCACATGCATGGTAGATTTCATTGCCATGGAAAGAAAACACTTCAGTGTTTAAGGCTGTAGGCTGGCTGGAAGTGAAACCTAGTACAGAGTCATAATACGCTGACTCACCGGCTGCAATATCAGCAGTTTGTAACATAGGTTAATTTTAATATTTTAATATTGGTTATTATATCCAATTTAAGCCCAAGTAGGCATTATAGTATATATATAATTATGTCATATTATAGTGGATTCTTTGGCAGAAAGTGACGGTCAAAGATTTTACTGATATAATAAGTATAACGTATAAAACACTGTTTTCTAATCTCTGTAGTTGAGGAACTACTGTTTACTGTTTAGATGGCAATCTGTTAGTCATTTTGTGGCATTCCCCCCCGACTGATCTGTGAGACACATTTCTTATTAACAGTTCAGGTTGGGATTCTTTCACTTTTCTTTGAGCAGTTTAAAAAAGTACCTCTAGAAACATTTTCCACTGTGGACGTCAGCACACAGCATGGCATTCCAGAGGACAGAAAAAATATTACATCGCCGGCGTATTGGTCACAGACTCAAGCTTTTGCAGTGGCCGTTCAAGAGTCCTGATCTAAACCTTATTAAAATGCATAAGCCAAGTTGCAAAGTAGTGTCCATTTTCAGTGTAAGATCAAGCTGATAGGATTTTAGGGATATATTATTATTATATTATTATTAGAGGTTCTTAAACATGTTTAGCTGCCATAAGAGCAGTGAAGAACCACATGTGCATTCTTTGTTTAGTCCAAAGTGACAAACACACACAGTCTACAGTTTACAGTGGTGCTGATAGGAACCAGGGGTCACAATGTCTACAATGCGAATATAGCCATTTTATGTTAAATCAGTGACCCTGCTGTGGAAAACAGCACATACCTCAGCAGTCTAAGCTGGTTTATGCTGGTATTGTACTGGTTTGGTGCTGGTTTAGCTGGTCACCCAGTATGGTCATGCTGGCTGACTAGCATACCAGCATTCAACACACCAGCTGTCCTTTACATTTTGTGAAAATTTCATGATGAATGGATCAACAGAATTGCTCTAAAATCACTTGGAATAAAATCTCTTTACATTAACTTACACTGAAAGGTGAGAGTGTTTTTGCCTTCTTCAGTTATTATTTTGGAGATACTTGTTTTTCTTTGGACAGCGACGATATGCTGGTTTTGATGGTGACCAGTCATGCTGGTGTAGACTGTTTTTTCACGTTACCTATGGTATTGTAATGTGAAATGTTAAAATAGTGTTAAATCTGTTTTTAGTGTTAAAAAGTTTTGTTTGGGTAATTTTGCCCTACAGCACACTGCATGTACCTTTTTTTTTGGCATGAATGGATTAAAAAATGAACGCATTGAAAAACTATGCTCAGCAGTGTCTCAGGCTACAGGCAGCGTATTCGTAACATTTCATTTAATAACTTTAAACTCTTCAGACGTCTGGTTCCTATCACTACCACTGTGAACAATTCTAGCTCAGTAAGTTTCGCTAGAGCAGAGCACTTCACAGCAAACTACTCCGAACGGCTTTGTTTACATTTTAACCACTTAATTACCCAAATATTTTGAAAAATCAGAGAACTTCCCCTTTAAGGTGTCACTTCATAATAATCGACCAGCAAATATAATATAAGAACTGTACAGTGTTACTGTGAGTCCCTCAGAGCTCTGAGCCTCATCAGTGGTGAGCGGTACCGAAATTGCGATATTTTCGACGTATGAATAGTTCAGCAGTCGCGTTCGGTTAGATTGTAGTTTCAAAACTGAGACATTTCGATTGTACTGGCTCTATGCACGCGTCGCAAAAACTACAATACCCACAGTGCACTGCGTCTTCAACTCTCCGCAAGAGTCGAGAGCAGCAGCGGGAGCTCAAAATAGAAGGAGGAGTTTGGTTTGCTCTGTAAGAACGAAACGGAAATCGAGAAAAGAAAAAAAGATTATTTTTCCAACCAGAATCGAAACCGAACCCAGCTCTGATAAATAAAGAAACAAACCGCCATGACGGGCGTAACTCGTGTAATAAGAAGCAGTGATGTGTCTCCATATTTGAATGTAAATGGCCCATACTTTATATGCAGTTTTTGGCTTAAAAATAGAAAACTGTAGTTCACTAATAACATTTGACACGTGTCATTCTGTAACATCCTCTGTGTAAATAATGAGTCAAACCAGCCCCCCAGACGTACCAGCATCCCCCCAGTTTCACACGAACTGCTCTATAATAGCTGGTTTACTTTACTGCTAATATTGTGTATTTGTACTACAAGGACTGATATTGGTTGCCTTTCACGCTCACTGCACAGTTTACTAACCTATAGATACGTCTATTATTAATGTCTTCTTACTGAAAAAGCTTTGTGTTTATCGTCTCATTCCACCTTTTCTGTCCCACAGTTCCGCTCTAACGGAGGCTGAGAAGGAAATGAAACCATTTTTATACTGTTTTTATTTTTAATTTAATTTATTTTGCTTTTCCATGTTAAAATGCTACGGAACACAAGTGAGACATAAACAGAGAACAAATAAGACAAGAAAAAAATTCACGAGATATATTCTAAGTATCGCTGTTACAGCCGTTAAATAAGGTACTGTGGATGCGTCTGTCTGACTTCCATGTTGATGCAGTAGATGTCTTTGCAGTCTTTTCTTTTTCTATGCCTGTCTATGTCTGAGACCAGTATGGTGTCATATCACACATGACAATATTTAATAAGCAAACAAAAGCTGAGAACTACAGCATTAAGGGAGAACGAAAGACAAATACAAGAGACAGAACGCAAATACAAAGGAAAGACCCTAAATACATCATCAGAAATGAAGAATTTAAACACGCTGCATTTGTAGAAATTGTAGAAGACTCTCGCTTTTCTATTCGCGTTCACTGTTTAGTATTTGCTGTTATTATTTTCTGTATTTGCTGTTATTATTTTCTGTATTTGCTGTTATTATTTTCTCCCTTAATGCTGTTGTGCTTTCCGCTTTTGTTCGCGTTGTAAATGTTGTTTTAATATGACTCGGCGGGCCACCACAGATCAGAGTGAATTACCTGAAGATAAGTCTGTAGGTCTGTGGTTTCCGTTCATCATTGAACCCCCCCGGTTTTCTTCTCCAGTAGGCGGCAGTAATGTGTCTACCCCGTCGTGAAAAGGAGGAGCAGAAGAAGCAGCAGACTCGGTCAGAGCTTGTTGTGGTGAGGAGACGCCGCGTTCAGTTCGTTCTTTGTAGGGAAGAAAAGGCGAGTTCAGATTCGACTCCGTGTAGGAAATGAACGGTCATAGTTATACAACAACGTGTGTGTCACGAAATGTCAGACTTCGGCTGTGGCTCTGAGTTAATGTAGCCAAATAGCTCGTTAGCATGAGAGGTAGGTTAGCTTCAGTGTCGTCAACGTCAGCTAGACAGGCTAGGCTAGGCTAGCTAACTAGCATTGTCAGTTTTCCAGATTTTAGTTACTGTAAGACGCTACAAACTGGCCTTGATATATTTACTTAGGTATTATTTTCCATGAGCAGGTAGTTTGAGAGATTTACATTGACGGTGTGTTTTTGGATGTTAATCGGAAATTCTATTGTTTTTTTAGATGTTCCTAATAATTAAGTGTTTAAGAGACATTTAGAAGGATTTAACCCTCAAAAGAAATCTAACGAGTCAGAACTGCTCACAGTGATGAAAGAAATCAGATGTCCGAAGGAGTTTAAGGAGAATTCCATAGATTTTTCAAAATTCGTGGATAGTGAAATGGTTGAGATGTAAACAAAGTTCGTTCAGAGCGGTTCGGTGTGAAACGCTCCGCTCTAGAGAGACTTACCGAGTCAGAGTTGTTCTCAGTGGAGGTGATGGGAACCAGACGTCTGAAAAGTTTAATGTCTCTACAGTTACCTCATAGAAAGTCATTACATTACATTACATTACATTATATGATTGTGAAGATGCTGCCTGAGGTCTGAGACATAAAGTTTAGAGACGAGGGTTTGGGCTAAATCTTATATTTTTAAAAGCTATTCATGGCGGAGCTGTGACATATAGGTTAAAAACATCACATATAGAATAGTCAGAGGACGTGTAGGTTCACTGTTTGTTTTGGATAGTTAATAAAATGGCTACATTTGTGTTGTAGACATGTTTAGTATGTTGTTTTTAATGTCGCTGAAATTCTTCTAGGGAACAGATTTCTATTACATTAACCCCATAACATCTACAAAACTAGAAGCCAACTTCAGATACTAAACATGTCTTGACTGTGTGACTACAGTCTGGGGTTTAAGAGAGAGACTGTATAAATCTGATTTTCAATCTTATTTTATTCTGCATCCTGGTTCCTATTGCCACCACTGTAACGTAATCGGTTGGTAAGTTTCTCTACAGTGAATCATTGCACGTCACGGAACTCTGAATGACTCTGATTGTGTTATGTTTACATTTCAATGATTGAATTAAACTGAAATTTTGAAAAATCATTGGAATTCCCGGGTTATTGTCATCAAAAACATTACATTAAATTGATAGAAATATGTTGCCTGATGCCCGAGACACTGTTTATGCTAGTTTCGAGAGAAGATTTTGGCCTAAAACATATTTCTAAAAGCCCATTCTTGATAGACACGTGTAGGACCTTGTAATGCAATATAATCCCTATAGAAAACTTATTTTGTAAGATTTACCACTAATTTTAAGAATTCAGAAGACACGTGTAGGTTCACTGGTCATTTTTAATAGTAAACAAAATGACTATATTTGTGTTGTAAACATCACAACCCAGGTTCTTCTTACAACCACTGTAAAGAAATGTGTACCATTTCTCTATCATGAAGAATTTTACACTAAACCTCTCTGAATGACTTCGTTTATGTCTCAGTGATGGAATTATGCAGAACATTTGAAAAAAGTTTGATAAAAATGATCATTACAGTAGTTTAGGTAGTTTCTTTATTTTTACAGTAAGAGTGAATAGATCTAAATCATAAGTAAAGCTAAAAAAATAGAAATTTTGTTCTGTATTTTCTCAAAAATATATTCGCCTTGTCGTAAGTCGTACTGTAATTTGTGGTTGTTTGCTGTGTTTTTAGGTCATCATGGCGAAAGTTCCTATGGGGAAAGTATTGCTCCGAAATGTCATCAGGCACACAGATGCCCACAACAAGGTTTGTCCACATTTCTTTTGTGTGATTGTGTTTCTGTTACTGATTTTGCTCGTCAAATATGAAGAGGTTTTAGATGCAATAAACATGAATATAGGTTTAATGTTGAAATGGTGTGAATATAGTTTGTGTTGAAATGTTAGGAAAATAGTTTCAGTGTTGGCTATTAAATCCATTAAGATTCAGGAAGAGTCTGAGATGTGGAAGCTTCGAGACATGGAGCTCCAAACCTCATCTGCTCAAGCTTCGAAGCACAGATGGATGACGAGCGGTCATTTGGCGAGGTACAAGCCCACCCCGTTTCTCACCGTAGCACCTGTTACTGCTAGTGTCTGCTGATGTGTGATGTCCAGTTCTTATGATGACCACATGCTACGTTTTCACAGGAGCAACATGCACTGCGACAGATACTTGGATGACTCAGAAGGATCTGCGCGAGACAGGCTTGGAGAACGGAAATGTCTGTCTGAAAAAGATGAGCGAGAGGCTCGATACTGGACACGAAAACTCTATGAATTTGAGGCCAATGATCCAGACAGGTGAGCGCTCATGCTTAATGTTAAATTATTAATAAAATCACAATAATTTGGAGTATTTCACCATAATTACCATAAATATTTTGCTTTTCTCCCACTCAGATGGGGTCATAGTGGATTTAAGGAGCTTTATCCAGAGGAGTTTCAGTCAGATGGGTAAAGTTCACTCATCTTAACATCATCGTTATGTATGAAGCTTCCTTTTATATTTTGAATCTTTTATTAGGGTCCTTATGTGGACCTTAAAAATGAGAAAATTGGTAAAATGTTCTGGTAATGTCTGTGAGGTCTTGGGAAAGGACGGCTGTTTAGTCACTGAAATTTTGACATACTTTACCTCACTGGGGGAGCTGGTGACCCATTTCAACATCCGCTCACACCTGTAGTAGTCTAGAGTTGAACAGATGAACACTGTATTAGAGTGCCTGGTAGAACAAGGCTACATGATCATACAACCCCTGTATACATAGTTGTTAATCTAAAAAGCAGTTAAAGGTCTCAAAGATTCAATTTGAATATTTCTGGAAGGTCTCTGCCAATTCCTTGAGTCCCATGGCCAGTTTACTAGTTCAACTATGGGTATAATCGAAATGATACAGTGGCGTCTCAATTTGATACATTTTGCAATGCAGCAAAAATAGAAAGTGGCTAAAAATGTGCCTTACATTAATATGTTAATGTTTCCATTTTCACTTTATTAGTTTATTCAGTACGTTGTCTGACGAGACCCAACGTTCTGTAAAACACTTTCAAATGTCAAAATGGCATATGTGCTGCATTTTACAAACGCTGTGCAAACTCAAACACTTCAAGCTAAATTACTACACTAGCACTACATTTTAGAAACATGCTGCAAATGTGGAATATAACTTCAGAAACACTAAAATGTCAGTCAACACTCAAAGGGATGAACCCATTGAAATATTTAACTGTGCAGCATAAACCTTCATTTGTGAAAGTAAGTTAACTTTTATTTGAATAGATGACCAATAGTGCTATATTGCAATGGAAATTAGCTGTAGAGTGCAACAGTACACTTTCAAATAGCTGTTTAATTTGTTTAATGTAACAGGGACGCACTGAAATTTTGGCCACTGAAACTTTTGGTTTTCAACTGAAAAGAAAAAAGGAAGAGAAAAAACCCCGAAAGATGAAACAGAACTACAACCGTCAAAATCTTAAGACATTACAAATCATTTGAATAATGATGAAAACGAGAAACAGTGATCAAACACTGTTCTTTTTGGCTCATCAGTGCAGACGTGTTCAAACGCATTCAGTTTGAGCAGTAGCAGATAAACAGTGGGGGAAAAAGTTAGTTATGTGGAACTACTTCACAGTTTCTACAAGGAATATTAGACAATCATGGTTAACCCTGGGTATCGCAAGAGAGCACAGCGCTCAAGAACTTATCCACTACATATTTGATACCACTTTAAAACACAACATCCCACTTGATACACAGGATACTGCCAAACAGAAGAAGAAGAAAGGAAAGTCCCGACAAGCACAACAACGTCATCTGCAGCCATAGTTTTTGAAATGATGAAACAAAAAAAAATCACAAACGACAGCCCAAGTGCAAAGTACAACTAAAAAATAATGGAATTCTTTGTATTAAGAAAATATTTTCCATGTGCTTCCATTTCCAATGACGACGAATTCCATTTTTTTTAGTATTTTTTGTATATGTATTAAATGCACCCATTTGTTTTGTATAAATACTCCTTAATGTTGGCACTCACTTTTTTGCATATTATGTAGCCCAGAGCTCTTCTAATCTGGACCTTGAATCCAGTTTCCAGTCCTGGATTTTGTAATTTCAGTAGGTGTCCCATCAGTTACATCAGGGTGCACAAGTCTGGTCCTGGAGGGCCAGTGTCCCTCACAGTTAGACACATCCTACTAAAACACATCCACTAAACCTGGCCGTTGACAGTTAAATCAGGTGTGTTGGAGCAGGTAATTCACCAAACTATGCAGGACACTGGCCCTCCAGGACCAGGATTGGGCACCCAACTGATTTACATCAACAGTTCAGTTAGCTAGTGGTGAGTACCAAATTCTGGACTAGAACATGGACTCAAGGTATGGATGTGAAGATCTCTGATGCAGACTACCTAACAAGAAATGTATTTTTTTTTAATACAGAGAGACTGGTTGCACTAAAGGCAGCAGAAAAAATGGCAAGGAAAAAATGTCAGCTGACAGACGGAAGAACTCCAAGAAATCCTCCAAGAAGAAGAAGAAGAAAAAGAAAAAGAGGCAGAAGACTGCAGGGTCAGACTCGGAGTCTGACAGCAGCGCAACGGACAGTGTCAAAAGGAAGCAAAAGAGGAAAAGTGGCAAAAGTAAACACAGTAGAAAGAAGGGACACAAAAGCAAAGCGAGAGAGGAGGACAGCAGCACGGAGGATAGTGAATCGGGCAGACATAGAGACGTCAAACACAGGAAAAGACACAGAACTGCAGACGCTCAGACAGAGCCTGAAAGGAAAAAGAGGAAAAACTGGAAAGTAAATGAAGAGAAATCAGAGGAGAGCTCTGAGGACTGAAACGTGTTTTTATACAATCTTTGATCAGAACTATTTTTCTAAAAACCCACGCATTATTTTTAGATTTGGCAAACTGTTAGCGTGGAGTCATCGCCCTTATCTCAATACCTCACTCAACTGAAACTTGATAGTTCTTTTGAAAACAAAAAAATGTTTTCTAACTTGTAATGTTATGTTTTTTATATCATTTTAAGAATCCTGCCATGTTGTTATGAATGATTTCTAGTGTTTATACACATTCTAATGAAAATTTTCGTATGTTTTATAACCAAGACTCAGGTGTTTTTCTCTCATAAGGAACATATGTCGTACCGCAGATCTATTATTTGATCAAACTGAGCTGTGAGGCCTTTTAGTTTGTGTCGGGCGAAGAGCTGAAAATGCTTGGAAGGAAAAGCCCAGGAGGTGGCACTGTTGTGCTGTTGGCCCTTTTTAACTCTCAGCATGCATTCACAGTTCTCCTTAAAATTGAGCTCTTTAGCTGGAATCAACCCTTCTGTGTGTCAGCAGAGCTAACACCAGAGAAAATGGGAGAAGTGGTATTGGTTTCTCAGTCCTGGTGGGCTGCAACAGTTAAAGTTCCTCATGAAAAATACTTAAATACCATAAAAGTGCACATTCAACTGATTCAGTGGTTCAATCACAGTTTTTCTTGTGAACTCATACGCTCCATGCATTTTTTCAGTTGTTTTTATTGTGAGCTCGTGTTCTTGCTTGTTCCAAATTCAGAATATGTTAAGTCTGAGATCATTTTAACGAAAATGAAACGCTTTTAGGGCACAGTATTTATGCAAGACATTGGAAGAACTAGCTTTTTTTTTTAAAACAGTCCTCATGAGGTTGTTTGTATGTTTAAAGGGGAATTTAAAATATCAGCTTTCTCAAAATGCATAATGCAATCATTTAGACGTAAACAAAGTCATTCAGAGTGGTTTGATGTTAAAGACCTTTAATAGAGAAACTTACTCAGATTTCTCTACAGGTTTCAATGCCTACTATGTAAATTTTATTTACTATCCAAAATGACTGTTGAATCCACATGTTTTCTGGGTTTTAATATGCAGTGCTGATAATAGTAAAATGGTAAATCTTTTAAAAATATGTGTTGCATCATATTTTGCATGTATGTGCAAAGTATATTGCACATACAAGGAATTTGTCTTGATGAGCGCAAACATGTATGACGTTACATATTAAACAGACCAGAAAGCATACAGACTGTTAACTGTGGATTTTAAATGTATGTTTCAGGCCAAAAGCTGACGTAAAACTATCTTTTAGATGCGTTAAGTGCTTCAGACGTCTGGTTCCTATCACCACCACTGTAAATGATTTGGCAGGATTAGACATCGACATCAATCCACTTTGAATGGCTGTTCACATCCTAACCATTTAGTTGACTCTTTTAGGGAGAGACATGTGCGATTTATTTCCATCATTTATTTTCCTGTTGTCACCCTTTGGGTTAGAACAGAATCGCCAATTCAGTGGAGCTTTACCCATTAGTGTGTATCTACACTGTTTGTTTTTGCTAACTTTCACGTAGAGTGCACTGTATGTACTGTAGCTTTGTGCCGTGACAAGTCATTATCTGGATCACTGGCTGCCACCTTTACTTGTAAACATGGGGTACCCACAGTAGAGAACATTGTGTCTCTATGGTAATGAACACTGGCCTGCCTTAACTGCCTGGCACAGCGACTCAAAACAGCACGGCAGATTATCAAACACTCTGAGCTGTCAAGGTCCATAATCGAATCAAATTAAATGTAGCCAGCTTTTATTGGTGCTGATTGTCTTGTTCTGTCTTTTCAGTAAAACACACAGTCATTAGCACGTTGCTCTGCGGAACATGCTGTACGGGCAGATGGGCCTTGTTTTGGTAAGGCGAGATTCAGCCTCATCTGTTAACGGCTGTGGGGTTTTGGGTCTGTTTGAATGGCCCGGTACATTTTGCGTGAATCCAACAAAAGTAAGGGTGTAATGGGCACAGATGGCAGTGAACTTTTAACTGAAACAGCATTCATTTCATTTAATGTGGCACTTTCTAGTCCCTGCCCTGGAGTACATCTGCCCTGCATGTTTTATTGTTTTCCCCCTTCAAATACACCCTGATCCAACTTATTAGTTAATTAGTAAGCCCTTCCTGAATTCATGCTAGAGCAGGAAAACACTAAATGTGCATGTCAGGGGTAGCCTAGGACCAAGATTGAGAATCTGTGATTTAGTGGTAGCTACCATCTCACCCCCTGATCTGAATATCCATATTTATTCAGTTCTGCTGGCTGGACACTGGGTGTACATTTTGATACTACTGGAGGTGTAAATAAACCATAACAAAAGTCAGTTGGGCCTGCGATTCTCATTCCCAGTGCTGGGGCACTGCAGCACTAAATAGTTTAGTGTTTATTTTGTTCTAACAGACCCAATAAGATTCATGAAGTGTTAATAGGTTCAGTCAGGTGATCCCCTAGGATTTACATTGGGACCCACTGTTTTAGGGCTTTATTTGAATGTACGCTGTCCACGCAAGTGGAGTTTCCATTTAAACGTTTGGCAAATTTTAAACTAATTTCCAGATAATAATCCATCTGCTACTGTTTTGTACAAATTCCTGAAGATGACGTCACATGCTTGTGCCATGTAGCAGAAGACGAGTCTCATTCACTGTGTATGGAGGGATTCGAACCTGTATTAACTCTTGGTCAGCTGTAGAATGCTGAAGCCCTAACGGTTCAGAGACGGCGGGTGGAGCGGGCATTGGCCCATTTAAAGAGGGCTGAAGTTGCTGTCCCACTTCACCGTTGGCCCCCAAACCCCTGTGAACAACACTACAGCAAACAGTTCTTGAGGGATGAAGTGCCAAACACATGACTTTTGTTTACACTATACAAACGGTTATTTAAAAAAAAATTGAATCACCATTTTTTGCATTTGTCCGAGCATAAAACTTCTTTTGTGATATTTAGGCATTTTTCTGAATTTCTGACTTTTCCATCCAGATGTTTTTATGCACGCTTTTTCAGAATTTGCGTAAAAGGTGGATGGAAAACCTGTAACAGAGTAGTTAATGCAATGCACTGCTCTTATTAAGCATCAGAAGCTATTTGACTGCTAATGGTGCCCCCTTGTGGAGAATTTTCAGCCTGCTAAACGTGTTTAAGTGAGTCAGTCAGTCAGTCAGGTAATTGGTTTGTTGGTTGGTTGGACAGCCAATTAGTTAATTACTTAGTCAGTCAGTTATTTAGTTAGTGGGGTAGTCGGTTATTTAAATACTTAGTTAATTAGTTAGCCAGTCAGTTAGTTAGAAGCCAGGTTTATGAGGTGCTTCAACTCTTAACATAAAGATGCCAGTGACGTTATGGAAGAACCCCTTTTTTTCCCTAAAAAACATTTTTGTAAATGGGATGTGCAATTGTGAGGGACATTTTAAGTGTAAAGAGTCTCTGTATCAGGCAGGGTTCCTCAAAACTGGTCCTAGAGGGCCGCTGTCCAGCACAGTTTTGTGGTTTCCCTACTCAAACATGCCCAATTTAACTCAATTCTTAGATGCCAGGTTTAGTAAGTGTGTTTGAGAAGGGAAATCACCAAATAGTGCTGGAGACCAGCCTTCCAGGACCAGATCTGAGGAAACCTGGCATAATGTAATAGTTGTAGGTGTGTAAACGTGATGTGTCAAATGTTTTTATTTTTTTTTAAAGAACCGCCCACTGAAAGGTTCTTTAGGGAACCAAAGTGGTTCTATGGCATCGCTTCAAAATTTTTTCTTGCACCTCAGTTTTAAGAGTGTAGGTCCACATTCACGAAGGCTGTTCCACTGCGCTGTGCAGTACATGGATTAGAAATGAACGGTAACCAGCCCTAATTGCACCCAGAGCATCTTGCAGACTATTAATTACATCTGAGATGATGTAACTGAATTATGCATGATGAGGAATGAGGCTGAGCAGGAGAGTGTTCAGATTTCTGTCCTTCTTACTTCCAGTGTCTGAGCCTTATCCAGACTTGCTCTGGTGCAGAGCAGGGGAGGGTCAGTTGTTAAAGGGGGGTTTGGACATCATATGCTGAGTAATAAGGTGGTTGGGCACCTAGAGGAAGCATTAATCATCCTAGCAGCAGGTCATGAAGCGTGATACTTCTTAGCAGTTCCCTTTATCCTTAACTGGTGGACTGTGCCTGACTCAATCAGCCTTTGTTTTTATTAAGGACTGTCTATATCTGCTACTGTTAGTAATCTAGTAATCAGGTACTTTTTTGCGAATTGATTGAGTGCACTGAGTTTTTCAAGAATGCAAAGCAATAAAAATGCATGGCCTTTTAAAAGACTCCAAAATATATTAGCGGAAGATCCAAGTGAGAGAATACAAAATAAAAAATTACCATTGTGCAATTTGCTAATTGACCACTGCCAAATTATCATGAAGGTACATTTTGATGAATTATTATTATTATTATTATTATTATTATTGTTTTAAGCAAATTAATTGACAGCCCTAGTTTTATTTATACTGGTTACCTCGGTAGCAGATTAGATTATTTGTTTATGATTTGTGCTCCTAGAACAGACCTTTCTTATGACAGAAGAATGATTTTTGGTCCAGCAGCAGAGCAGAGAAATGGGCTCTTAGACCTCACTAAGACTCAGACAAACATCATGTGTTGCTTATTTTATCTTTTGCAATGCCTGATCACAAATCACTGGAATAGGATCCTCAGTTTCTGTTATGGACAGGTCCGTGTATGAAGAGTCTCTCAGGGCTAAAGCAGTGCACTCGTCCATTCACCTCAAACAGGCCGTGTGACAATTAGTCACTTTCGCATGTTTTCGTGTCTATTAAGCACCAAAGTGATGCCTGGGGGTCCGTTTCACAGAGCAGAATTTATTATTTACCAGCTGACTTTAAACTTAATTTGATCCAACCCTGTTTTTTCTGTCTCATGACTGTGGATCACATTTATAGGGATACATTCCCATGACCAGGTCCAGCTCTAATCTTTTGGTGGCTCTAAGCAAGATTTTTTGTGGGTCCCCCATCTTGCTAGCTGACGTTCTGTAAAAGTAGAGACTAACTAATAACACTGATCACCGCAAGCTGTCTAAATTATATACATTTATAACTGGCTGACGTGTATTGCTGATGATTATACGCTTGTTTGGGCTTCTAATATGTTACATAATAATATGCTCACCACTCAATATTTCATGCTTACCCAGCTAACTTTAAGCTTAATTGGATCTAACCCTGGTGGCAACAGTGTTGACAGACTCCTCCTTATGTTTCACATGATTGGCTGTTTGTTATAAATGTCACAGTAATAGAGAAAACCATTGTGAACACAGTTCTCTACTATGCAAAGAGGAAACCATATATACAGAATCCAGAAACAATGCCACCGCCTTCTTTGGGCCTGAGCTTATTTAAGATGGACTGAGGTTAAGTGGAAAAGTGTCCTGTGGTCCGACAAATCACACACACATTTTCTAAACCGCTTATCCTTCTGGGTTGCAGGGGGAGCTGGAGCCTATCCCAGCAGTCATACGACAGAAGGCAGGAAACACCCTGAACAGGTCACCAGTCCATAGCAGGGCAGACATATACATCCTCACATACATTCACACCCAGGGGCAATTTAGCATGTCCTATTGGCCTGTGGGAGGAAACCAGAGTACCTGGAGGAAACCCACACATACATGGGGAAAACATACAAACTCTACACAGAAAGGGTCCTGGTCACCCAGCCGGGGAACCGAACCCAGGCCCTTCTTGCTGTGAGGCGACAGCACTGAAATTATGAAATTCTTTTTGAAAATCATGGACACCATGTCCTCCAGGCTAAAAAGAAGAGAGGGACCATCAGACTTGTTATTCATGCACAGCTCAAAAGCCAGGATCTGTGATGGTATAGGGGTGCATTAGCGCACATGGCCTGGGTGACTTGCACATCTGTAAAGGCACCATTAATGCTGAATGATATATACAGATTGT